TCCCTGCTGTGTTTATTTTGTTTTACCTTAAGTGAAGAATGTATTTATATGTATTTAAGCTGAGTTATCTGATAGAAAAACTACATTCACAACAGTTAGAGGCAGACATACAATCAAAATTCAGATTTGTCTGACTCTCAAGCCTCTTTCCAGCACATTACGCCACTCTAAGGAAAAAATCATGCAGAATTTGAAAGGCAAACAAAAAACAATAATGTTAGAGGTGCTATTTTGCCGTCTTACTTAAAGATTATTATACAAAAATGCCCTGTTAAAATTATCTGACTAGCCTGTTGTTTTGTTTTTACTTTCTATTTAAATTAAAAAAAAAAAAAAACACAACACAAAAACTCCTCTTTAACCTTCAGTACCCATAAATAGTGAATTCACTCTAAATCTAATCCAGTGAATCCTGAGACCCTTCTCCACATTATTTAATTTAATTCAAAAGTTTCCAAATATGGAGCTCAGTAATTTAAAGCCATATTGTTGGTTGCAAATTATGCCATTGGCGTTTTATAGGACATCAGGTTGTTTCTCTTATCTGTATTGAAAATTATTCTGTATTCAAAAAATAAAGAAAAATATACGTATATTTTATAATTAAAGTCCTTTTATTTGGTGATATATCTATGAAAGAATCTTATAGATGTAGCATTCTTTACAATGACTATATTAGTCAAAATACCAATTTTACTAAGTTTGCAATTTTAAAGAAAATACCACTGTATATTTTTAGGAGGATAATCTGCCCTTGACATTAATGGAAAATGGTATAATAATTTTAGACCCACTGAGTTTAATCTTAAATATATTGACTTTACTACATTTTTTTTACTGACCTGATCTGGAAAGAAACAGATCAATGAAGGAAAGTATCTGGATGTTTATAAAATCAGGTTTCATGTATTCTCTCATATTTTTTATTCTTCAGTGAGGAATAGCATGGTTCAAATATAGCAATAAATGTTAAGAATATATCTTATTGTATGAGTAATACAGTTTGGAAGACACTACTCTTTTACAGATAACTGTTTAAGACAGATAATTGTATTCAAGGCAATAGAATATAATATATTCTGTTGTCTCTGAACTTCTAAATGAAATTATGAAAACTAAATTATATGTTTTTAAATAAGTGAACCAAGTTCATTTGTGATTCAGAATCTTTATTATATTAATCTCTATGAATAGTGGGAAAATATCTGTTTTATTATAGTATCTCCAAATCACAGAATAAGGTAAATTAACAGTTGATTACATCCTTTTAATCTAAGCTTGGAATTGGCACTTGAAATGTCCTTTTACATTTTAGGGGACCCATCCGTTTTTAATATATAGGCAAATGACAACAAATAAACAGTACTCATATAGCAGATAAGGAATGACAGTGTTCCAGATCCCTTAGCCTTTGAACTTTCTGATCTCATAAACAGTGTCATACCCCAGCCTTTTAAGAGGTTACTCTGATTCATGTGTAAAAAGAAACACTTTGTTTCAGAAATATAACTTAGTTGTCAATAGCTATCATTATACCTAGGAAGGATATGCAGCAATTTTTAAAAAGCAACCTAAGTGGCTATCTCCTTTTTATCCAAACGGTCCTCATAAAGACTTGAAGTATTAACTCAGGAAAAAATGGGCATCTATCCTACACCTACAAATATCTAGGGATCATCAAAATTGCTGAGAGTCGGAAATGTGTAACTAGTATGAACTTTTCAGATTAGATTGGTTTTATGAAGCAAAGTGTTAATTGTACACAACATAGTGAGTAGTAAATATCTCAGATGCATTACATTACTACATTACATTACTACATTACATTACTACAACTAATAGAAAATATCTACAGAAGTACTTGCATTGTAAAAGTGGACAGGGGATAGCAAAATGAATTAATTGAAAAAATGCAAAGTAAACAATCAAGGAAAAAAGGAAAACAAGGCCATTATTATAAAACTAAATTTTAAGACAGTGATTTATTTTCCTATGTTTCTCTTAATTTAACCAACTTTTATTTCAAGAGAAATATAAATGCATTGTATAAAATTAGAAAATGCCTGCTAGCAAAAATACAAAATAAGAGCACTATAGTTATACTATCCAAAGACAAGTACTGTTTAATGTCTTACTGTATATTCTAGATATTCTTATGCACATACATGTGCATATATGGATTTTTCTTTCATTGAGATTCAACTGTTTCTAACCCAATCTTTTAAATTTCTAGCCTTCTTCTTCCCATGGCAGTACATTTCTATCTCAACTACTACCTAATCCATAATTAGACTTTTCAAGTTACCTGAAAAATGTGTATACAAATGGTTGTCTAAACTAAGGTCCAGTCCAGGATTGAATTTCACACCTTGTTGTTAGGACCAGTAAGTCTTCTTAATCAAAACCATTACCTTATTTTTCATATTCACTTATTAAAGGGAACATACAAGTTTTCTTTTGGAATATTCCCCCTTCTCAATTTGACTGGTTGTTTACTTGTGGCTCATGATTTGTTTTTCAAGAATAAATTCTACTGAAATATGAAGCATTTGACCACTTAAAAAGTCCAACAAAACACTTGTGTACAATTTTTAGGTGTAGAAACTCTAGTTCTTTACTTTTTTGGGTTGTTTGGACCTCTGTCACTCCTACAGAGGGGTAAGAGAAGAAAAATGGTAAAGAAATGCAAATCAACCAAGGAACTGCTATGGGAAATTATTGAATGTAAATGCTAACTAGAAAAACATAGAAATTACTGTCTATTGAGTTTTTAGTGTTTTATGTGCATTGCCATGACCTAACTAAATAGTAATGACATGACAATTGATAGCTATCCAAAATAAATGGAAAGAATGAAGACAGAGGTCTTCTTTTGTTCTACTAGGAATGATTCTTCTTAAAATGGAAAACGAGCAAAAATAAAATAGAGCATTTTCTGTTAATTTATGTGACATCGACATGTATTTTCATAAATTCATGCCACTTATTCTTTTGCAGAATAGATGAGCAGAGGAAGTTTAGAGTTTAGTTCAACCTACAGTTGACAAAGTGTTGGGCAATATTCTCAGTCATATATAAATCCTTTGCAATAAAAATATTGGATTGAAGAAAAAAATACAACCCTTTGTGTAGTAATGGCTTTTTCAGGGATATGTTAGGCACTTAAACTGGAAATTATGCCTTGGACTGAAAACTTAAAATATTTTTTGAAATACATATTTAACTGCCATGCTCAAAAATACGATCTTACATACGCCAACACACATCACAATGATGAGTTTGTGTCCATACTACGGTTTAATTTTCTCAGCATAGATTTTTATATCTTTATAAAATTCCATTTAGGAAAATCTATTTGAATTATAGTAACATTCCAGTATGCTATAATACTTTCAGCTGTCAGGAAACAACCTTTAGGATGAAATAATTCTTAAGGTTTTTCTGTAGTTTTATATGGCAATATAACAGTCATAATCTTTAAAAGACATAGCTTCATTTATAGAAGTGACACAGATTTTTTTCAAGAGCTGTTTAAAATTTAAAAATTTTATTTAGGATCATCCACTATCATTATTTCTGATGTGTCTTTGAGCACAAGTTTATTTTGCAAAAGTGAGTAATTTTTTTTTTCTAAAAGAATGTAGCTGTACAGAGTAGATTCTTCTGCAAACAGGAATATAAGGTGTAAAATATTTTACTATGGAAAACATGGCCATTCAGGAAGTTCTTTCTTAGTTTCCCTATCTGTCATGGCTTCATGGTCAAATATGTATTAGGTAACACCTATGTGTTTTACTCTGGGCTATTTGCTATGATGTATAAAATTAATATACATCAAGGCTCTGACCACAGAAAGCTCATAGATACTACTCCACTCTAGAACAAGAAATTAAGACCATAAATATTACTTTTCAAGCAAGGAAAAAAAAATATCTTAGAAGACAATAAGTGTTTAGTTTCAAAATTGTATCTTAGCTAACAATGTATTAGAGAAGCACTTTAAAAATATGTCTCTAAAAAAAAAAAGAATATATAAATCTCTAGTGAATCTCTTCTCACCCCCTTTTAGTGTAATACTTAATGTGTAGACATCTTTTATGGGTATATGATGCTTAGGCACACTTTTGATAATCATAATTACTCTTGTCATTATAACTCTGAAAACCTGTCTGACCCAATTCTTTACCTTTTTCCTGCCCTTTAGCCCAGTAGAGTTGTCTAGCCAGAGTTTGAAACAGCACTTTTGTCAACATATCTCTCTTACCGGTACCCTCATGCTCCAGAGTTGTGGCGTTCATGTAACTCCAGACCGTGCATTTTTGCTTAAAGCAGTAATTCTCAAGGCAGGAGGTAGGGTATTGGGGGTGATTTGAGCAGACATTTGACTGTACCTAGAGAAATTGTCAAGACTAGAGGATGGGGTGTTGTTGGCTTCCAGTGAAGGGAGGCTAAGGATGTTGATAAAAACCCCAAAATGCATAAGACAGTCCCCTGCAGTGAACAACCATCCAGCCCAAAATGTCAATAGTGCCACTGTTGAGAAAGCCTACTTTAGAGAAAATGTTGGAAATAATATTATATACAACAACATTATTAAAATATATTTCCATTTATTTACAGAAAAAGTAAAATAAGAATAATTTAAAATGCTTATATATCAACATTTCAGCAGGTGGTCTTCATTCTATTACCAAGTGTTATGTTGTTGTTGTTGTTGTTGTTGTTGTTGTTGAATGGCATGCTGTGGCCGCTCATCTCCAAAGATTATTTGTATGTGCATGGTTTATTACGTAAAACGCAAAGCAAAACAAAAGGTGGAAATAGTTTTTATTTCCCCCAAAATGTTGTGGCAGCTCTAATGCATTTTGTATTTGTATTTCTTCTAACTGAGAAGATTGTAATATGTGGATAATGCATTTATTACACAACTGCTCTTTTTCTCCCTCTGTCTTGTCTCTCTTCTTACTTTTTTTTTCCTCCTTTTTCCTTCTGGTGGGCAGAACTCCTCTGATTGCAGCGGGAGTCATCGGCGGGCTCTTCATCCTGGTCATCGTGGGCCTAACATTTGCAGTTTATGTTAGAAGGAAGAGCATCAAAAAGAAAAGAGCCTTAAGAAGGTTTCTGGAAACAGAGGTATGGTGTTTATTTGTTCTCCGTGTGTTGAGGGACTTCTGTTAGGTTTAGAAAGTTTAGATGATTCTCTGTTATTTAACCCAGGTGAAAACTCGGTTCAATTTCCTGCAATGAACGATGCTGAGTTCATAGTATGTTACACAGAGTTGATGAAAAATCGGACGATATAGTAAAAGTAGTCAAGGCAGATTCATGCCCGAAGGAGGACAAATTGTAGGGGTCAAGGAGATTTTCTGATGAATGACAGATCTTACTGTAAAGACTTAGCTGTTTCTTTTGGAGGCGGAATCCCACTAGAGTCCTAGGATATTACAGTAGCAGAACTAGAAAACAACCGGGTAGAAGATACCTCAACAGTGGAACTAGGAAAATGTTAGAAAGAGAGAATTTTTCTGATTCAAAAATAAAGCCAGATAGTCAAGCAATTTATACTTTAATTAGGGTCATTAAATTGGCAACCACTAGTCCCATTATACCAGTAGTGAAAAGCTGAGCTTACAGGATAAAGCTTCCTATTGTAATCACACAGACTTTACCACAGAATTTATGGGAAGCATTTAATGCATGTGAGTTATTGTGAATATGTAAATTACCCACAAATTATTATAATCTCTCTTATATTGCCGCCCTGAGTTCTCTAGCATGCAAGGTGATAGTTTTCGCTGTATAGGTTACAGGGGGAAAACAATTACAGAAAACTATGCATTACCAGATCCTTCTCAACTTGCACCTTACCTTCTTTCTCCTGATACGTGGCTATGGCTGCCTGAACATTGCTGAACAGCTCAGAGCAATTCTGTTCTGAGACTTAGCCTTCTCTGGATCTGCTTTTTGCTCACTGTCAATGTGACAGTCTGACTTTTCCTCTTAACACTGACAGGAATGAGAATATTCATTCATAAATTGTACAAACTGATAATGAATTAAATTTTAGCTCTTTTCTTCCGGAAGTTGAAACTAGGTAGAAGGATCATATGAAATGTTCAGGAAGCTACTTTACTTATATGCAGGAAAGAATGTCTAAGAATGAGAGTTGTCTGAAATTAGAATGGGTTGTCTCATCAATAGAGATGTTCAAGCATAAGACAGGTAGTCAGTTATATACATGAAGAGAATAGTAGCAATTTTTTACTTGAGCTGGATGCTTACAAAAGACGAACTTCATCGTTTTCAATCTTGCACATGTGAGTACAAGTTTGGACACAACACAGGAGCTGTGCGTATTTTCAGTTTAGCTAGGATGCGGGAGGCAGAATTCTCCCTTATGGCCAGCTTGGGGCAGTCATGGGGAAAATTCTAAGAAGTGAAGTGAGTTAGAGTTGGAGGGGAACTGAAGGCTTGGAACAGCAATGGACATGTAGGTGATTGAATAAATACGAAAAGAATTCTGTCCCTTAACTACATGCCGGGAAGTCCCATTGCTATAAACATAAATGTTTTGTCTTCTTTTTTAATACGGTGCTTTCTAGGCATGCCCTTCAAACTGACATCTCCTTACTAAATAAACACATACTGATTGGTTTTAGAAGCAGACTGCTTTATATAAAAAGTTATTGCTTAGCACTAAATTAGATAATTGTAGAATTCCCATCTCTCTCTCAGTAAAAATAAATAACTATGATTTTCTGTCATCTAAACAGAAGACAAATTCTTAAGAGGATCAACTCAAATCCTTAAATTCGAAAGCTAGAAATCTGTCTCAGATGTGAAAAACTTGTTAAAGCATGATATATTGTTGGAATGTACTTAGAGTTAATATGCTTCTCCAAAATCATATTGCTCCAGATTGTCTGTCTTCTGTTACACGCATAAAAGTAGAAAAATTTTTTTTTCAACATACACTTACGAGATGCTCTGTAAACTTGATACTTTGATAGATACTGTAATTAAAAAGCGCTAATGGGACATGATCCTTTCCCTTGAAGAGTGACAGATTCAGTGCCTAAAATATGGCAGGCAATGTTCCAAAGTTTTCCAGCTATGTTACATCCCATTTCATCTTTTGACAATCTTCTGTGGTAATTATTGCTGTACCTATTTCACAGTTGTGAAATAAGGGGTTAGGAGGGATAAATTGCTTTCCCAGCCTGGAAGTGGCAGTACTAGTGTGCAAACCTACAATTTTAAACTTGACACTCTTTCCACCGTACTGGCTTTCGAAATAAAACAATGCTTCTGTTAAAGGCATCATTCTCAAATTCCTGGAAAAATGTGTTTGTATAAATTTTTAAGTGAGATCTGAGAAATTGCTGAAGACTAAACCTGCAGGTAGAATTGTGAAGTTTTCAAAATACGGAATTATGGCATATTATATGCCAAAGCATATATTTTAAATATATATAGCCCAAAATACTGAAATCTAGTCCCCAATCTTGCATATGATTTTTATATAAGTTTTTATGTGATTTTAAAAAAATACTTCATTAAAGTTCCTGATTATATACATATAGTGTGTGTACCAAAATCTAATAAACAAATTCTGCACCGCAGAGTTGGAAGAAGGAGATTCTCTGACAGAGATTCTTTTTCCAGTTTTAGAAAGGATTTTGTAATTCTTTCTGAGCTTTATTTTATGTGACTTTATATGCATTTTTAAAAATATATATTTGAAAATGAGATAGAAGCATATTTGTTGTCTAAACTTTTAAACAAGAGCCCAAATTTATTTATAATTTTTATCATCTCCATATTCCTGGTATTGCTACACTTACCTATATTCAAGATTCTGTTCAGCTACTTAAATAGACCATGACATTCACAGAAGCAAAATAATAACCAAGACACAGAGTCACGGTGCACTTAGCTTTGTAAACAGACACTGAGAAACACTGAGATGGTTTTTAAGACCATTTGAGTAGGAGCTGCCTTTAATTCTTTCCTTATGTTAAGAGGGGCACCTGGGTGGCTCAGTGGGTTAAGCCTCGGCCTTCAGCTCCGGTCATGATCTCAGGGTCCTGGGATTGAGCCCTGCTTTGGGCTTTCTGCTCAGCAGGGAGCCTGCTTCCCCCTCTTTGTCTGCCTACTTGTGATCTCTCTGTTAAATAAATACAATCTTCAAAAAAAAAGAAAAAAAAGAGAGAGAGAACTAGCTATTTGTTTGAGTTTAAAGCTTAATTCCTTTATTTATCTAAAATTATCCAAACTTATCCCTTTTGGCCACACCCAGCCAAGATCTCGTATTTCCCACCCTAATCTCATCCTTCAGACCTGTCCCGCACTCTATTGCATTCTGTTGTATGTCTTCCTCCTTCCTGATGCTGTGTCTAAACTGTTCTTCACAATAGTAATACCCTCCTCCACGTCAATCCATTTTTATTATCTCAAGACCAATTTTATTTTTTTTAAAGATTGTATGTATGTATGTATGTATGTATTTTAGAGAGAGAAAGTGCAAGCAGGGGCAGAATCCCAAAGAAACCACACTGAGCTTGGAGCCCAGCACAGCCTCCATCTTAGGACCCTGAGATAGTGACCGGAGCTGAAACCAAGAATCTACTCCCCTCAAGACCAATTCTAAAGTGTGCCTCCTCCAGGAAGCCAAAACTAATAAAGTTTTCTCGCTGGTGGCTATTTTATCCCTGTGCATACCATAGCATTCACCTAGGATGTAGAATCATTTCATAGAATTTTAGAATATTTGATCTGCAAAGTACTGTAGTGCCTTGCTGCTTAAAATGTGCTCAAGGTCCATCATCATACATAGAATTCACCTGGAGTTCTGCAAAAATGCAAATTTCAGCCGCAGCCTTAGAGTTACTGACCTAGAATCTGCATCTTCACAAGAACCTCGGGTAATTCAAATGTACATGAAAATTTTAGCAGCACTGTCCTGGTGCATTGGCATTGTGCTAACTTACTTTGTTCTCTTCTGACACATTTGTCCTGGCTTCCTAGTTAGATTTTATTTTTCTAATTCTATTTATTGAGTCTCCTAAAACGAGAAAGAAAACTTTGGTAGAGTACATGGACATAACTAAGATCTGAGTCTTTGCTGTAGCTACCAAAACTGGAAGGACTTCAAAAAGTAGGATTAGGAGCCACTAATTAGCCTAAATTTCTTTAAAATGGTGGGGGGGGGAGGGCGCGGGAGGGGGCAGGAGAATCTCCTAGCTTAATATGTCTAAAGTAGGCACATTGTAACTTGTGTTCACCCAGACAAAAAGCTTGAGAAGTGAAAGGATAGACTGAGGGAATAGTGAGTGATCCAAACGATAAAAAAATTGTCAAGGAAAGTATGCCTGTGTATTTTTTGGTATGTATGAGAAAGAGAATCAGGCAGAGGAAGAGGGAGAGGCATTGACTGGAATTGAAAGTTAGAGAACCTGTATTTTTTTTTTTTTTTTTTTGTTTTGTAGTTGGTAGAACCTTTAACTCCCAGTGGTACTGCACCCAATCAAGCTCAACTTCGTATTTTGAAAGAAACTGAGCTCAAAAGAGTGAAAGTACTTGGCTCAGGTGCTTTTGGAACAGTTTATAAGGTAAGTAAAAAAATAACCCATACCACCAGTTATTTTTTGGTTCAGACCAATAACAGCCAGAGTTATTGCTCTAGGTAACCTAACTTCCTTTTAATATTTGGAGAGGACAACCAGTATCGTATTGAGAAGTTGCTGCATAAATGAATTCATTCATTTTTATTGAGCAAGCTGGGATGGAAACTAGCATGGGAAAGCAGGAAACTGTCACAAAGAGCCACAGCATATAGTCTTTCTTTCCATACCCTTCTGATCCACTTTTTATGTTGGCAAATTTTGTCCCTACCTAAAATGTATAGCTTGAGCCCATTTTCCTTCCCCTACACAGTGCTCCATGGAATCCCAGACAGGCCTGAGCATATGCCATAATCCTTGTTCTTCTTCTCTCCTGCCCTTTTATTCCCACATCTCCCCCTCAGAATGACATTGCCTATCTCTTTAGAATCCACACAAATGTGCTGATTTGTTAACAGGATAGGATTAGGCCCAAAACCACTTTTTTGCCTACCTATTAGTATGATTTAGCAGAAAAATTTTCAGTTTGGATGTCCTCACCATTATATGTAAACTAAAAAAGTGACTTTCTTTGTGGAATTCAGGTTAGATAGAACGAAAGGTGAAATCATGGGTTTCCAATAAGAGAGATATTTTTGGAAAGGCAAAGTTCAGATAATATCATCTGCATGTTTACTTATTTAGCTTAATTATAAAACCAATTCGGAGGCCAGGCCCAAGGTTAATTGTGGTGAAATTTATGTTTAACGTAAGTAACAAGTATAAGAAACTGCTGGGTTAATGATAAATCCTTCTTGTGATGTCTATTAGAACAGTTCCCCAAATTTTACTTTGACAGTTTTATAAGTTTCTTAAAGCTATATCAAGCCTGCAGTTTTTATAAACATTTCTATTAAAATAGACTGGATCTTAGAAATTTTGCACTTTAAAATGTTCATTTTTTCCTACTTAAAACAGATGTTTATTTAACAAAAAGTATTAACAACTAGAATATAAACCTTAATTTTCCCTCCTGAGTGTTCCAAAAATAATTTAATCTCTTTAAAATAAAATTATTTTATTCTAAGGCCTAAATGCAGAACATTCTTAATCTCTTTGTGTGCATATTTTGTTTAGTTAAACTCAAAATTATAAATTGAACACCTAATTTGAGTAGAAACTATTCTCGGCTGACTTGGTGCTTTCTAGTTTTCAAATTATTTGTATATTCAAAGAAATATGACTTATCCTGTTTTTCTATTTATATTATGTTAGAAATAATTCCATTTCAAAGGTAACTCAATTTTGGATTGTTCCTAGCGTATAATCAGCTTTTTATTTTAAAGATGATATGGTCTGGAAAGTGAATTTTACTTTAAATTATGGATACCATTTAACTTGAGAATAAATATGATCTAATGACCTCAGCAGGGAAAAATTACCCATTTAGACTTTTAATTCTAAAGCTTTATAAATGTTTTTATTATGAATAACTATTTGCCTGTTGTCCATGAGCATTTAGCTTCATTGAAATTACTTGTATTGAAAGGTCCATAAGTACATATCAATTTTATACCTATCGTAGTTACAGTTGACGCTGTTTTAATTAACATACTAGCTCTTACTGAGGCATATTGTCTTAAATGGGAAAGAACTACTCTTGACCACAGAAATGCATATTAGCTTAGCTAATTACTTCATTGATTTTTCTCCTGGTTGGAGATATGCTGTGTTTAAGCATTAAAGATTTGAACCAATACCATGGATATTAGTGTAGTTGAATTTTTGTCTGGTCAGGCCTAGAAAATAATGACTATACTTATTTAAAAAGCAGTACAAATTAATTCACACTGAATTTATATTCGTATTTCAAAAGTATACTTTGGGAATATTTTAATATTGATGCTATATCTTTATAAAGTAACCCCCCTCTGGTTACTTTATTGAATATTGGTAAGCCTGTTCTCTACCCTACATACCATCACTAAGAAAGTATAGCCTATGGATCTTGGGCTTCTTCCTCCCCATTTCTGCATTAATAGTTAAAAAAAAAAATTATACCACAAGGAACTTGGCTTTCTTTCTTTTTTTTTTTTTTTTTACTTTAGATTAGATTACATAGATTTCCCTATTAACCCTAAGAAGAATGTAACTCTTAACTTCACCTTCTAATGGTTAAAGCCCTTTTTATCTGTATTATTCTGACTTTTTAATAATTCTTGTGTTTAGGTCTCCTCTTATTACAACTTTCAATAACACAAATATATATGTTTTAGCATAGAAGTACAAAATGAAAAACATTTTTTTATGACTAGAACCAACTGATATTAAGAAAAACTAGAGGTGTTCTCTTTAGGAATAAGAGAATTTTCCCCCTTTCATTTTAATGTTAAAACTGGACTAAGCAGACTTTTTTGATGTCAGGGCTAATAAGCTAAAATTTGAGATTTTCTTGCTTCTGTATTCATAAGGAAACACAGAATTTCAAAAAAAATTCTTCGATAATTGATGCACCCTCGATGTCTTACCGAAATTACTGTCCTTCATTCAAATGGTTGAATTGTTTACTCAGAAATGCTGTTATTTACCTTAATGTTGTACTTGACTCAAGTTCCACCTACTTTATCCTTCCTAGTGTGTAGATCCTATTCAGATATTATAATGATATTTTTGTAGGAGGAGAGAACTGGCAATGACCAGTATAAATATTTTATATTCAGAGATAATAAAAATCCTTGACAAACACATACACAATATTTGATAATAAAGACAAATTAATATGTGCTCAGTTCTCTCTAGTACTTGCCTTTGAAAACTAATTCTTAAATAATCATCTTAGAAAACTATTTTTAAACCAATCCAATCTTCAGGAACACGAGAATATGCTTTTTTGTATCTTTATTTGTTTTAGTTGCAGAACAATTAGGTAATATTAAAGCTGAAAAGAACCTCCAACATTACTTAACCCAGTCTTCTAAATTACAAATGAGACAACTAAAGATAAAAAATTGGAACAGTGTTCTCCAAGTCTTAAGAAATTGATATATCATCCGAATCTAATATTTATATCTTACTTCATTTCTGTCACTATTGAAAAGCTTTTCCACACATACAAATTGAATTTTATAATAGTAATGTTTCATAATGTAATAGTAAACACCTTGAAAGCAGAATAAATATATGATTCATCTTCAGATAATGAAAGGAGACAACAAAGTTGCTAAGTAACTTGTAACACATAACAGGTATTAGATAAATGTTTGTTGATTGAATAAAAGAATATAGAACCTCTAAATTATTTTTTAAGAAATTAATAGATTGAGTGGTTAAATCAAATTTTGTTTCTGGTATAAATTTGTATATCTTCATATAGATTTAATGTGATTTTTTCCCCCCAAAGGGCATTTGGGTACCTGAAGGAGAAACAGTAAAGATTCCTGTGGCTATTAAGATTCTTAATGAAACAACTGGTCCCAAAGCCAATGTGGAGTTCATGGATGTAAGTATAGACACCAGGCAACCACATTTTTATCCATTTTTAATGGACTGCTTTTAGAATTTAAAAAAAGAAAAAAAAGAAAGAAATGATATACTCTACAATTAAAGCCTTGAGCAAAGGTCAGCAAACTTTTGCATCAAGGAACAGAGAATAAATAGGCTTTTTTGTGTGATGTGGTCTCCATAGAAACTACTCAACTCCATCCTTTTGGTAAGTGAGCAGCCATAGACACTTAAAAACAAAACAAAACAGGGGTGCCTGGAGGGCTCAGTTGGTTGGGCGACTGCCTTCGGCTCGGATCGTAGTCCTGAAGTCCTCAGATCGAGTTCCACATTGGGCTCCCTGCTCAGCAGGAGTCTGCTTCTTCCTCTGACCCTCTCCCTTCTCATGCTCTCTCTCTCATTCTCTCTCTCTCTCTCTCTCAAGTAAATAGATAAGGTCTTTGAAAACAAAAACAAAAACAAAAACAAGAAAACCCACAAGAATGGGTTTGACTGTGTTCCAGTGAAGTTTATTTACACAAACAAGCTGAAGGCTGAAGCCCTACAAGCCAAATTCTGCTCCCAAGTGCTTTGTATTTAACCACAATGTAAAGAAAGGCAAATTGCATTTGGGAGTAGGAATGATGGCCTGAAAAATTAATTAGGCTGCTTTATTTTATTATTGTTATAATCTACTAACAGAAAACATCAATCAAGAAAAGTTTCTATAGTAAGTTAGTGTTAAATTTAAATTAGGAATCTACCTAAGTCAGATAATTACCAATTGAAATTTACTTTTTTCAGTTCAAATTCAGAAGAAAAACCTAATGGGTAAAAAGCTCCAACTATAGAAAAATAAGAGAGTTCTGAAGAATAAAAATACTTTATGAAGTCAATCAGAACTTTAAGATTTCCCCTGGCAAAAATTGTAGATTGAGCTGTTCAGCGAATTTCAGAAGGTAGGACAGATAAAATATGTATGTGGTAAGCTGTTATTTTTTTCACATTCAACACAAGATAACTTGCCAAAGGTTCTATCAAAGACCCATGTATATATTCTTTCTTATTTAGCATAAAGTCTTCAATAATAAGAATAATTTTGATTTTCAAATGACCTTAATATGAAAGATGATGCAAGCATATGCACTTTGATTTTTAAAGATGGATTGCTATATATTCCTACCCAGTTTCTCTTGTAAGCTCCTTTTTAGGTTGTACAGGAGCTCAGTTTTTCATTTTGGATAATTTATTTGGATATAATGCTCACTCTTTTACATAGAGCTGCTTTTAGTTCAACAACATATTGGTTATTAGATAATAGAACTGATAATTAACTGGTACAAACCAACTGTTCTGATCAGTTGGTGCTGTACCTTACCAGTTGCTTAATATTTTGAATACCGCCTTTGTTACTTATCTACCAACACCTGACAGACATTGAGTCCAGTAACTAAATAGTGTTTCTTTCTGTAGGTGTGTAAAAGTTCTGACACTCTCTGCAGCTACATGTCCTGGCTCATATAGTAAAATGTAAAACTGAAACCTTTTTCAGTGATGTCACAATCAATTTGATCTTGATTATAGGTATATAGTTGTGAAGGAAATTTTCAAAGTAAAAGTTATGAAGAAAAAGGACAATGAATATACACAGTTTAAGTTAATATGTAAGATGGATTAAAAAAAAAAAAAAAGATCTTGCCCAGCCTAGACTGTAGCCAAAGCTGAAATCCACAAGAATGCTCATAATCTCTGCTGGAGGCTTACACAGCCATTTTTGTCATATTTCCATGGAAACAGACTGGCAAAAAGGGGTTAAGAGGCTACAAAATAATCACCTAAGAAAGAAGCTCTAAAAGCTTCATCATGATTTTGAATGATTATTTGAAAGCTCCTAACCCCATCCATTTTTTTTTTTCCTGATCTGAAGCCTATTCCCATGGAAACGGGAGTGGGGATGGCAGCTTGAAGTCTTAAGATTTCTACTGAATTTTAGATGACACTCTGATTGAGCCATGAAAGGGGTCATTTTCCTAAATGGTTGATAAATCTGGTGACCAACAGACTCCTAACAGTATGTTCTTTTTAAAAGTTTCAAAAAATGTTGATTAGGGAAAATATTTTTACTGAGCCACTCATACCTCATGGATAAATGCTAGAAGATTAATAGATTGGCGGACTGCTATTGGCAATTTCAATAAATATCAAGCAGAAACACCTCCTACTATTTTCACAACTTCCTTCAAAACATTAGTATGACATCGCAATAATTAAAATACAGTTGCACTGGCAAAGTTCACGAAAAATTCAGATTTTAAGCAGGCTTGTGTAATTTGAATGCAAAATTATCTACATTTCATACCAACATTGTTAGCTCATCTACTATGTGTGTAAATCATTATGAGTACTTAAATAACATGTCAAACTGTAATAGAAGTTTTCATGTGAGCAAATTTATTTATAATTTGGACCTAAGAATTAAGTTAAAGTTGCTCATATTCCCAAGGTTATTAAGATAAAAGTCTTATTTGGCATATCTTTTAGTTTGGGTCCTTCCATGTGGTAAAGTATTCCAAGTTTAACTTTCAAACTCAAATAACATATACTGCAATCATGCTACCTTCTCTTTTGTAAACTAATGTCTGTATATATTTGTTTATCAGCATATGTTTTATGCCATTTTAAAGAAAGAAAATAAAGCTTCTGAAGACAATAGGAACTGCCTACTCATACTAAGCATTAGATCTCTTTGTTCCACCCTACCCCCAGCATGCAACTTTATAGTTGGAGTAGAATATTCTAGATTCAATAACTACTACTACTAAGTTTATTAGATGTAGCTCTGTGTTACTGGTTATTTTAATAAATGACAAAATGCAACAACTTAAAGCTCACTACATCCAATACTTCTATTGATATACGGGGCACAGGAAATGATTTTTATATTTTCTTAGAATTTTTACCATATGCAAAAATAAATAAGAAACAATTTGTATTCTATGAAATGCTATGCTAAAAGCAGGAGAAAGAGAATTTGGTCAGAAGGCTATTACTCAACTCACCTGAATATGTCTAATGGATTCATAATGACAATAATAACACATAGCTAGTGAATGGCCAGTATGTCCTTAATTCCCATAAAGGAAGATCACATTGAACAACATTAAGAAAATGACCTTAGAGGTGCACCTTCTTAGGAAGAATATCTACCTTTATGCACACTTCTAGTTTTTGTTCCAAATAACACCATTTCATTGGAAAAACACAGGGTATTATTTTTTTATTTTTAGTTTGGTTTTACCTTGTTGTCTTTTGGGTTTTGTGTTTTGTTTTCTTTTTATCCATCAAATGGTACAAAACACATACCTAAAAAATGAGGCTATTGAGTAAGATTCCTGGAATTGGAGAACATGGTCTGGTCAAATCAGACAGACTCTTGAGTTTGTCTGAATTTCTACTACTGTTGTTTTGTTGTTTTTTTCTCTGATATTTAAGCCCACTATCACTTGACATTATTCTATATCTCTTGGAATTATATATGTATTTAAATGTTTTATTTATTTGTTTTCTTAAAAAATATTGAGATAAAAATAAACAATTATCCTAAATTCCAGTGACTGGATAATAATAATGCTTCAGCTTAGTGCTCTGTTTGATGGCTTTAGCATCAGCTTTCCCATGCCAAGTCAACCACCTAGCTCCCAATAAGGTGCTCCAAGGAAATATGTTTCAGATTATCCAGCCTTATTGTGTAAATATATTTCGGGGCACCTGGGTGGCTCAGGGAGTTGAAGCCTCTGACTTCAGCTCAGGTCATGATCCCAGGGTCCTGGGATCGAGCCCCACATCGAGCTCTTGCTCGGTGGGGAGCCTGCTTCCTCCTCTCTCTCTGTCTGCCTCTCTGCCTACTTGTGATCTCTGTCTGTCAAATAAATAAATAAAATCTTTTAAAAAATAGTAATATTTCTCTTAAAGGAAGAAGAGCTTGTTGTTCTCTCCCTATACAATAGGAAAATCTATTTATCTTACATGATCATTGCACTATTTTCAGAAGAAATGTCCATGTGAATTGTGCTTACATGTTGCTCTTCCTTGTATTGCCTTTATGATATTCAATGACTTTTTTAAAAAATTGTATTTATTTATTTATTTATTTTTGAGTGAGAGAGAGAGAGAGAGAGAGAGAGAGCCAGCATGTGAGCAGGTAGAGAGAGGCAAAAGGAGAGGAGAGAGAATCCCAAGGAGGTTCCATGCTCAACTCAGCACAGAGCCTGATGTGGGGCTTGATCTCATAACAGTGAGATCATGACCATGAGATCATGAGCTAAGCAGAAACCAAGAGTCAGATGCTTAACTGATTGAGCCATTCTGGTGCCCCATCATATTAATTGCCTTAATGAGATTTGTTCCAACTCTAACTGATATCATATTAATGGGTTGAGACAAATAGAATTTACTAGTAGAGTTTATATTTTCTTTCAGATTATAGCAGACATTTGAAAAGATGTATTGTTCAGTAACATCAATTTCACATTATAAAAATAACATTTTTATGCTTATGACTTTATAGAGTTAACAATAACTCTTAGATCCTGTATCATACTAATAACGGATTTTTAAAATTCATACAATTTAATCCAATGATATCTTTAGGTCTTACAGATTTTGCTCATTTGCATACATGAATACAATTAATCAATTTTAGAGGTAAAAAAAAATGCAAAATTCCTTTTTTAAATAGCCCATTACTTAGGTGTCAAAGGATTCAACACTGCTGCCATGATCTTGAGAAGTCAGTTATAAACAATTCTTCTTTCAATTAGCAATAATCGCGCCTCGGATAAATCTCATTGGCTACGATACTGCCACTGCGCAAAGCTAACAATTCTTCTTTCCTTAAAAGAATTATAGCTAAAATAATTAAGAAAACATTTAGGCAGTTATTTTGCTTTTAAAAAATCAAACAATATCTTCAAAGAGCGATTCTATAAACTCCATTAGAAATAGAAGTTAGTCTTTCAA